AATTGGGAGGGTATTTGGCAGGAATTCCTTACATGCTCCTGCTTAGAATAGATCCTTGGGAGAGGGGTTGGTAGGGGGAAGGGTTATTGAACCCCAGAAAAGGAAGGGGGGACAGGTCTTGCATGCTGGGCGATGGGACTGTGGGTACAAGGCTCACCAAAATTCTAGGGAGAACAAGGTGACAGGTAAGAGAAAATGGGGGTGAGCACCCTGGGTAGATATCGGGAAGTGGGGTACAATAGCAAGAACAGGGAATAGCGGGGGTGGGGGTAGGGCACTTAGATGAAAGGACACAAGAAGAGCTGTTTAGGGGAGGGAGAGGAGTAGAGACTTATACAGTATTTTTTAAAAAAAAAACAAACCACGTATTTTTTAGGATTTTTTCTGGAGTTTGGGGTTTTAGTTTTTTCGCTTTTGTTTTCCACAAAATAAAAAAAAAAAACAAACTTTTTTTTTTCTTTATACTGTCTGGCAACTGCTTGTAAATGACTGTCCCACCCTAGACAGCCTCTTGTTTGCTCAGTACCCAGAGGTCACAACTCATGCAGGTCCCATGCCTGAAGGAGGCTTGACAGAAGAGTAATGTGACATGTGAGCTCCTCTGGCCGGGACGCTCCCAGTTCTGAAACCTCAACACCTGGCAGGTACCTCAAGCACAAGTGTTCCATGAGTGGCAGTGGTGGGTGATCCTGACCTGCAACTCTTTTTGAGGAGTTTGGTATCAGGGCCAGGGATGGGCTATAGGTGTGATCATCGTGCCCACCGAAATTGTAAGCAGGAGCCTATGTTTGAGCATTTTTGGTCTGGGGAAAGGGTTCGTGTCATCAAGAAAGCTAAAAATCACTAGGTTTGGATATAGGGTACAGGGAAAACTACAATTCCCAGAAAGCCCTATTGTAATAGTTCTTAACCAAAGGCAACTACAGTTCCCAGAAAGCCTTGAAGTGGCCTCAGAAGCCCTATATCCCAACCACCTGCTTAAGTCAAATACTGTTTGTGAAATCATACAGATAGTTTCCCAACTTTGACCAGATGTAACACCTAAAGGGACCATACTCTAAATAGTCCCATCAAGGTTGTATGTCTTGGCCTAATATTCATACTGCCACTGTCTGCTGGGCTATGATCCACGGAGTGCCCGACTATGCTTATGAAGTGTTCGGCAAAAAAAGGTCACTTATTAGTGTGACCAGACAGTAACGACCCTGGGGCCTCTGGGGGCTTACCTGGACTCCTAGTGCATGTGGTGAGGGTAACATGTCTGGTATAAACAAGAGACAGCCCCCCAGGTTTTCAAAAGGGGACATGAAGCAGCTTGCTAGAACCAGCCAAGAGTAATGGTGTCCTCTGCGCGTCCCCATCGCCCCCTTCTTTTTTTCTTTCAAATTACAAAAGGAAGTTTCTTTCGAACGTTACAGAGGTAGAAGTGAGCCAGCTGGGCTGCGCAGGCTCAGGAAACAAGTTAGAGAGGCTTAGAAGGAGCCTTGGAGCTTAGGAGACGGGCAGAGGCAAGGCGCCTGGGGGAGGGAGAGGGGAAGGGAAAGGCGCCCGCGTGCTTGGAGAGGGAGAGCGGGTCCCCGTCGCCCCCTTCTTGCTCGTTAGAGAAGCCAGGCCAAAACTGAGGCCCAGCCTTCTCGCTGGAGACCCAGACAGTGGAAAGCACCTAGAAGTGGGAGATGCACACGCAGGCCAGATTGGACATGCAGCCGCTGTCAGGAGGCTCAGGCACCCCGCTAGTTACCTAAAATCTGGGAGGGGGGCGGGGAGAGGCCACAGCTGGACCCAGGCGTGCCTCGTCTTGGGTCCCCCCCTACACACACACCCCGCTGAGTTGAAACTAAGAAAGGCAGAATTGTCCCCCGCAGCCTCCAGCTTAGAGCAGCCACTACCACCTCCAGGGCGGGCCTCGGGAGAAAATGGCCAGAAGCGCGCGGTGGCGCCTTTAAGGCTCCTCCTAGTCCTCCCTCCCAGCCCACGTGACCCGGGGCGGCCGCGCGCCGGCTG